CCTAAAACCATGACTCCTTCCTGGGACTCCTGCCTGGGGCTGGAGCAGCCACAAATGTATTTCTCTCTTATCTCTGGACTTGGGCCCTGATTACCTCAAGACTCACGCCCCTTCAACGCCAGGGAAAATGGGAGGAGTTAAACAGCCAGAGCTGTCTGCTCCATGTTGAGTTTCATCCTGGGCCCCTCTATGTGACCATCATCTCCTTACTATAACCTATTCAAAAACATGGAACAGGCTGGGGAATAAAAGCTACTTGTCCAAAGCCAGGTGGCTCAGACTAAAACCCAAGCCTGTCTGTCTTCCAAGCCCCTGCCCTTTCTATGCTACCTGACAGGAGGAAGGGGCTGAGGCTCCCCAGAAGGCAGAAGCACCTGTCAATGCTATTGCCATGGGAGCAGACAAGAGGAGTGAAGGGATGGACCATAGAACCCATCACAGGAAACTGAGCTTCCATCCAGGTGGTGAGGAAACCATCCCTAGGCGCTCAGGGGCCTGACTGTCCTGGTGCTCAGTCTCAGGAATCAGAAGTCCCAACAGGTTCTGCACAGAGCAGCCCAAGTCCTGGTGTCAATTCCATTCCTTAGGACGGGGTGGGGCCTAAGGAAGAGGCCACCAGGGCAGATGCGCAGGGACAGGATGGGCAATGCCATGGTTCCGTGCCCCCCTGCCCCACCTTCCAAGGGCTTGATTCCTCGGGGCTGGGGCCCAGAATGACATCATTCGCATGACAAAACACTGATCTGGGATCATCTATGCTAGGAGGGGTAGGGATGAGCAGGGACATTCCTACTCAGTAGTCCTGGGCATATGACCTGTACCCCTGTACAAAGAACCCACAAACACACATGATCACATGAGCTGGGTTGCCATCTGTGTGAGGGTCCAAGGCACAGACACCCCATGGTGGGGCTTTAATTTGCTCATTCCTACCTTGGCCAGGAGCCATTTCCAGCCTCTCCAGAGTGAAGAAGTCTGTGTTCAGGGACAGGGAGGGGGAGGGCTGCCAAGGGGGGGCAGAGTAAACTTCTCTTCCTCTCCCTAGCCGCAGCAGCCCTCCCTACCTAGCCAGAGAATCCAAACACAAGTGGAGGAAAAATATGCACTTGACTGGCCGTGACTCAGAGCACGTTAGGGGCTAAAAGCAGGGTCACGGCACTGTAGACGATGGCAATGCCCGCAGGCCCCACAGGCCTCTCTGGGGCTGAGGAATCTTTCCTGTAGGCCACTCGAAGCTCAGCAATGTGCTGTGGGCCTGGGAGGAGTCGGGGAGGCCTCCTGGAGGGAGCTGGACTAAAGCTGGGGGCTGAGATAAGCAGAAGAGTTGGGACTGGCAGCAGCAGGGGGGAGTTGGCCTAGGTCTGCACAGAGCAAAAGATGTCAGCTATAGGGTGGGGAGGGTGGCTGGTGGGGCCCGGCGCACCAGGTTCTGCAAGGCAAGGGAGCTATAGATTGTCTGCAGGCATGGATGCCCAGCTCACCGGCAGTTAAAGCCAAGACCCAGTAATGATACAGGTGTTTCCCTAAGGGTCCCCAGGCTCAGGGTTGGACTTCTTCTTCAGGCACTGGGGAGCCATAGAAGGCTTTCTAGTGGGGTTCCAGCCTGGATACCAGGGACATTAATCAAAGCAGAGGAGCCACAAAAAGGAGATGAATGGGGGTGGCCACTGAACTGATCCAGGTGGGAAAGGTGAGGGAGAAAGGGGCTGGGGGGCGGGAGTGCTGACAGAGGAAGAGAGGGACACGAGCAATGTCACAAGTAGAGCTGAGCTGGAGGACCTGGTGACAGATTAGACATGAAGCGTGAAGGAGAAGGGAGAGCCAAGAGAGACTGCAAGGTTTCCAGCCCCGGGCTGGAGGACTAGAGGGAGGGGGAAGGCAAGGAGGGGGCCGCAGGAGAGGGTTGGCCTGGATAGAGAAGGCTCAGGCATGCATGTATGTGGACACGTGTGTTCCCAGGCAGTCAACACCACGGCCTCTGTGCAGAGATGGGGCCCCTCCACCCCAGGCTGGAGGTAGCTCCTGACTTTAAGACTGTGTGGCTTGAGTCTGCAGGTCTGGGGCCCAGACCAGCCCCAGGAGGGACAAAGTTATGTAAGACAGGAGGGTTCCTGGCCCCTGGCTGAGGCCAGAGCTGGCCACTCCAAGGAACCTGCCAGTGGCTCCTGGCTGGGGCTTTGGAACTTGGATCGATGCCAATCCCCAGCTTCCTGAGGCCAGCCCCTCTCAACATGGACAAGGGAAAACAGGCCAGTCAAAGGACCAACTTTCTCCTGGGGACACCTGTGGGGCCCTAAAGTCCAGCCCAACCCATCCCTGAGGCAAGGTGAGACGGGGTATCTCTTAGCCCTAAAGAATTAAGACACCCTTCCCCTAACCAGCTGCTCTAGTCCAGGGGTGAGGGACAAACAGAGGTGTCCAGGACCAGCCCTGAGGATGGGGGTGGGGCCCGAAGAAGAGACCAGCAGGACCAACGACTGGGGTCAGGAGGGACAATACCAGAGCTTGGTGCCCCTCAGCACCACCTTCCAGGAGAGCCAGCTTCTCACGGGCCCCTCCCCCTGGGAGTGCAGAGATCTGTGTGACGGGGCAACCAACAGGTGTGAGCGGCCCACCCTGGCGGGGAGGCAGGTGCCAGCTGTGTGACCGGGATGAATGGGAAAAAGCTGTGAGGCTGGGTGGGGGCGGGGTCTCTGTGTGCGGGGCCATGCAGGGTGGGGGGTGAGTGTGCTGAAGGGACAGGATTTTGCGTGAGGTGGCGACAGAGGGTGGACCCCTGGCCTGGGGAGTGGGAGGCTGCAGTCCTGCTGGCCCCCTGCGCCCCCTGCTGCCCGACTGGCCCGTCTCTCCCTCAGCCACTCACACACATTTTTCACTGGCTGCTGTTGCCGAGGAGATGATGGGTGGTGTGGGAGGAGGTGCGGGAGGAGCTGGGGTCATCTCTGGGCCAGCCTGCCTGGGCACGTGTGCCCAGAGCCTGTGGGGGACAGCAGTAAGGGACCCCAGATAAGAAGAAGGGCCCCTGCATGCCCTTCAGAGGCTCCTCCCACAGGCTGAGAGTGGAGGCTCAGTGGCAGCCTCCACTCCAGGGCGGCCCTCATGCATTGGTGCCCACCTGCCACCTCTGGAGGCAACCTCGGACCAGGCCCCAACAGGTGCCCCACCAACCTGGGACGCGGTTCCCCTACTCTGTGACCATCTGAGGCATCCAATGTGGCAACCTCCCCACCCAGACTGTGGCACCCTGACTCGCCAGCACCCATCACCCCCTTATCCTATTCATACGGGCTCACCTGTGCCACTGCTCACAACCGTCACACACGTGCAGCAGGCCAGCCATCACACAAGCTCATCTGGTCCCCCACACACCGATGCTGCACACACTGCCAGCCCCCATCGTCACCAGGGCACACATGCCAAGCCAAAGCCCTCACACGTGCTCACGTGGGCGACATGCAGATATGACCACACCGCCTTCTCACACACAGCCGACTCAGTAAACATTTCCTGGGTGCCTACTTGGTATCTGGCAACACCTCCCCTGTGTGAGGACATTGAACACCCCCAGTTCACCATGGTTGGCTCACCAAACCTGCACCCCCTGAGGGCTGCACGCACCACCCGGACACGGATATGTGTGCAATAGGAACACACACCCAGCAGCAGCGCAGCCTCCCAGCTCGATCTGGATGAAAACGGGAGGTCATGGGGCAGGAGGGTTTGCTAAAGTGAGGCTTTCAGGGGTGGGGGGATGATGGGGTGTTGGAAAACGGATGGGGGTAGAGCAGAGCAAGGACTGAGGGGATAGACTGGGGAGGGCAGCCAGGCAGTGTGGGTGCAGGATATGCTACGCAGAGACCCTTTAAAGAAACAGCCATCAGCCTCAATCATCAGGCTGGTCTCAGCTGTCACTCATTGATCTCCAGTCTGGCTTTGCATCTCAGGAACCCCAATGCTCCCTTCTGACCCCTAGGTTTAACAATGGCCCAGCCAGGCTGGGAGGCATCCCCCAGGTTCTCAGGACAGCAAGAATCAAGCATTGCTAGGGTGAGCCTCATGCTCCCTTGATCACACAAATGACAGCCCCCCCCCCCAAATACACACATAAGCTCAGCTCTGCTAAGTGCATGGATGGTGGGGAGGGGGGATGATCAGAAGGCCCTAACAACTCAGCTCAGGTGGAAGCTCAGGGAGAGCAGACAAAGGACGCTGGGGAACTCCCCCCACCCCAAGGGAGGTGGGCTGAGAGCTTAGTTACCAAGCAGGTTAGGGTGGCCAACGGGACATGAAGGGAGAAGGAAGGGCGGTGCAATGAAAGCTAGAAGGGAGAGCAGCAGCGACCCCACGGTACACAACTCTGGCCCCCCATGCACCAAGGAGGTTGGGAGCCACAGCCCTGGCCAGGGGCCACGGACCTTTGACAGTGCGGGCTGCAAGGGCGGGGGGCTGGTGTATGCGCCTCCACGCCTGAGTGTGTGCGTGTGCGAGCGTGTGGCGGGGACAGAGGAGGACACTGTGTTCTGGACGTGGGCAGAGGCCAGGTGCCAAGTCGGATTTGTGAGTAGCTGTTTGGGTCAGATGCTACCGGGAAGAGGTATCTTAAGCCTCCTCCTCATTTTCCTGGGCACTGGGATGTGGTCAAAATCTTCTAATCTGCGACCCTCAGAGTCAGGCTCCCCAGGGCTTTGATTCAAACCCCCGACTCTGCTCTGGGGCCGGGCAACCAGCAAACTTCCCCCGCCCGGAGGCGTGGAGCGTTTACACTCGCCAGCCCCGCGCGCTGACAGCTGCTCCAGCACTTGGCAGAACCCAGGCTTCCGGGGAAGCGCGCGGGGAAGCTGCGCAGCAGCGAGAAGCGGCCCCCGCGTCCCGCCTCGCAAAGTTTGGCCTCGGGGGGCTTCCAGCCGGGTCCGGCACAGCGGGTCAGGGACCCCCCAGAGCAGCGAGCGTTCGCGCGCACAGTCCCCCGCAAACCACCCAAGAGCGCGCGCGTGACTCACCCGAGCCGTGGAGCCAGACGGTGAGGACCATGCCCAGGAGCGCTGGCCAAAGGCCGGGCCGGACGGCCATGGCCGCGGGCGGGCGGGCGAGCGGGCCAGCCGGGCGCGGGGCCCCGCGGGCGGGAGGGCGTCTTTCAGCGCCTCAGCCCAGAGCCCCAGCCCGGGGCGCCCCCGGGGCCCATGCCAGCGGACTGCGCTGCCTCGGGGCGGCCGGCTGCGGGGCGTACGCGGCGCGTGGCTCCCCTGGGCACCCGGAGCACAGCAATGCAGCCGGGGCGGAGCGCAGCGGCAGCCGCGCCGCGCACCGAGCCAGCCGCCGCGCCGAGCCCGCAGCCGGGGAGCGGGCCGGCGGGCGCCGCAAAACCCGGACTGGAGCAGCGGAGCGGGGCGGCGGTAGGGCGGGGCGGGGGAAGGAAGGAGGGGCCGGGCCGCCCCACGCCGCGCGCGCGGGCCACCCCCAGCTCCGGGGATCCCTCCAGGCGTTGCCCGAGGCTCCCCCGGGGAGGGGTTGGGGTGGTGGGCGGGGAGGCCTCCCACCGCCCCGCGCGGTCTCCAGGGACAGGGCCTGGAGTCCGAAACCCGGAACGGATCGGTTCTCCGGATCCGGGCTCTCCCAGGCCCGCCAGCCTGCGCACAGGTGGCCCGGGAGGGGCCCAGGGCTGCAGCGACCCCGGCGCGGAGCCAGCCTGCGGAGAACCGCCTGGGGCAGGGGTGCCGGGGGCAGGTTCCGCTGCAGTCCTCTCCCCCCACCCCACTCCGCTCCCCGCCTCCCGGCAGTGTCCCCTGGCCGTCAGCGTGCTGCGGTACGCCACCAGCCCGCGGCTTGGATAGGGGACTGCGGGAGAGCACCCGGGCCCCGGCGCTCGGGCAGGCCAGACTTGGGGCCACCTGCAGTCGCAGCCGTGTAGCCTGGTGGATCCCAGTGTGACCCAAGATTTCTCTAACCCCGTAGCGCCTCTCGCTGAAAGAAAACAACCCCAGGGCACCGCGTCTCTGACTGGGCGCGCGGTGTTTGCGCCCTGAGCGCGCACGACGCCAGAGATGTGGGCGTGAAGGACTGAGCGGGTCTTTAGAAGCTAAGGAAACCCGGGATAGGGTCTAGGCGCCTTCGCCTTCTAGCTCTGTGACCTTGGGCAAGTCACGTCGTCTCCTGGAGCCTCCAGCAGTGACCGCTGTTGGAGTCTCCTGCTCCCCACCCCCATTCCCTAATCTGGTTAAAGTAAACAGACGGTTGCCTTGAAGGGGAAAGGAAATGGCAAACGCGCAACATATACCCAGGGCGAATTGTCAGAAAAAGAGACGGTCCTACTCTGGGTCCGGAGAAGGACGAGAAGGGTGAGGGCATGGTCACAGAGCAAACCTCCTATAGGGACCAGTCCATGATGTAAATTGGTCCTGCAGGCTGGGTGATATGATAATGGTCTACGCTTCCACAAAGCGATATGAGCTCTCCTATTTTTCTTGAAACCACGAGGCCCTCTCTCGGTCTGTCTTTTGTTTCCCAATTTTGATAGAGAAGGGTTAGGAGAAATGTTTTGCTTTTCTCTTAACTAGTGTAAGAAACATCAGCCAATGTCCAGATACACATGTACTGACGCTGGGCTTCAGCGCGGAGGAGACAATGGCGACCCGGTCACTGGGCGTGGGATCCCATCGCAGGGGGGCAGCTGGCTTTTCTATTCCAGGTGCCAACTGGTGTTGAACTGGGGCCCAGTACGGCCATATCGTCCACATTTTCAAGAGAAGCCACTGTGTGTGAAATCTTGGCATTTAAAATTTCTGACTGAAAAGTAATCTTTATTTTATTTTTTTACCTCATGTGAGCCCAGATGAAAATGTCCACAAATATCCAACGGCCTCCAGGTTTTGAACTCTGCTTTGGTGATTGCTTGTATGTAGGCTTTGTCTACCTGATCTACCCAACTGGAGTGTGTGAGTGTGTGTGTGTGTGTGTGTGTGTGTGTGTGTATGCACACACACGTGCATTTGCATGCATATGTGTGTGTGTTGCCAGGAGCGGTGTGTGCCCAAGCTGCTCCCTCTGACACTATGCCTCACATGCTCCCAGGGAAGAGGTGGGTAGGAGAGGTGAAACCTTACTAGGACCATCATTTGGGGCACCTGGTGGAAGAGAGTTAGGAATTGGGGTTTAGGCACTGAAGAGAAGGAAGTACTGGGATTGGGGGCTGGGATATTAGATAATATCATAATGGTCTCTGCTGGACTCTGTTATGTCCTTGCCTACATTTTAATTTGATCCTCACATGCAATCCTGTTAAGTGAACATTATTATCCCCATTATACAGATGAGGTAATTGAGACTTAGGGAGAGGAAGTGCCTTATGTCCAGGCCCAACCTTATTCAATGTTTGCAGGGCTAGCTAAGATTGGTTCTAGGGTGGCTTTGACTTCAATATCTGTGCTCCTTACATTTCCTCTTCCTGCAGCTTTTGCTCTGGGATTAGAGTTTGGGAATAAGGTTTGGGGAACAAGAAAGGAAAGGGTCTGTATCTCTCTTCAGTTCTTTGCGTGTTCACTTTGCTGGCCTCCTCCAGCTAGAGTAGAATGATCTGTGTAGCAGTCAGGATAGACTAGGTTATGTCATGGTAACAAACAGTCCCCAAATCTCAGTGGCTTCCATTTTGTTTCTCATTTGTTCACCATGGATCTACTGCTCTAGATTATCCTCCACTGAGGACACAGGCTGACATAACAGCCACTCTCGGGAGCGTCTTTGATCAGTGAGGCAGAGGAAAAGAGAGCTCTAGAGGTACCCCCAGCAGCCATCGATGGCTCAGCCCTGAAGTGACACATGCCACTTCCACTGACAATTCATTGGTCAGAACTGACCCCATGGCCCCATCCAAAGGACCAAGAAGTACACGTCTCCTCTGTGCCAGCAGCTGAAATACGAGGAAAGTAGCATTAATGATGACCACTACCTCAAAGCCCAGCATGATGGGTCCCCTGCCTCACTCTGCAACCCTACCTGGACCATAGCCATGGTGGCCTCCCTTCTGTTTCTCCAGCATCTAAGCTCATCCCCACCGCTGGACCATCCCATTTGCCTTTCTTCCCAGGACACTCTGTCCCCAGATCTTCACATGGCTGGTTCCTTTTAGCCACTCAGGCCTTGGCTTAGCTGTCCCCTTCCAATTGGTACTCAGGGCATGTCAGGCAAAGGAGCAGGGATGCCCTTGCTGAGATGGGGAGTAAATGTCTCACCTGAATTCTGCTTAAGAATCCAGGTTGGAGGGCTGCCAGGAAATGCTGGTCTCAGGCTCAAAGGTAGATGGTCAGATAGGAGGGCTCCTAACATCTTCAATCTTCTTTGGCTTTGAGCCTCAGATATAAAGGGAGGGAGAGGCCAGACCCTGCCTAGGCTGGACCCTCCCTTAAGTCTGCAGCCGCCTTGCAATATCCCAGTGACCAAGCTTGGGTTTCACCTCCAGCTGCCGCTGCTGGCTAGGAATTTCTCCTTGCTAGGCAGCAAGAATCTACCCCTCACTGGATCACTGGATCACTGGATTCACATTCTGGGGCCTCATCAAACCTCTCTCCCCACTGCCCCCATGTTCATTTCTGTTATTCAGAAGACTTTTACTAGTTCTTTTTCTTTTTTTTTTTACTTTCGAAGACAAAGTCTGGGTCTATCCTGAATTTTCTCCCTTTAGACCAAATAGTTCTGCTTCTGTCACTGGCATAGCAACAGAGTCCTGGGGCCCTGTCCTTGCTGCCCTGGCCCCTACTGCAAGTGCTCTCCTCCAAGTCTGCTCCTCAGAAGACATCTCTTGAAGGGAATTGGCACATCTCCTGCGCATGTGCTTGATGCTTTAGCAAGGTCGCAGTCAGCTGCTGGTGCCCACTGGATAGCGGGACCTCTAAGCCCACAGTGAGGCCATCACTGACTTGGAGATGTGCCAGGAGCTCCTGTGATGCTGGGTAAGATGCCCATCTTCAGGTCCTGCTCATCCTGTCTTGGATTCAGTATGTCTGGGAACATGTCTAGGAATCTGAGCTTTTACCACTCCTCCCGCTCCCTCCTGGCTATTTCTACTGGTGCCAGTGTTCTGAAGACCCCACTTTGAGGAACAGTGCCCTGTGTCTTTGCCATAGGTACTGCCAACACCTAGATGTTCCCCATCCATGCTTGGGACACTGGCTTTCTGAATTTAAGTGCAGAGACTTCCAATTCATCCCAATTCTATTGCTCTGTATTACATCCAATCCCTCTTTCCTATATGGTGCCCTCTCAGGGTGTGGAAGCTGTCAGGCAGGGTACTTGCTATTTCTCCAGCTTCTAGTCATTCCCAGATGAGATTGGAAACCACAGATTCTTTCAACCAAGACCTTCATAAACAGGTTGCTGAGGGCAGGACCAAGGAGAGAGCCCAGTGGCTGCCCACTCCCCACTACCTTGTCAGTTGCACTAGGAAAATAAATCACTATCTCTTTCTTCTGCTCAGGAAACTTCTGGCCATACCATCCTTCAACTCCCATCTCATGGCTGCACCCAGAAAATACACAGAAAGACTCTCCAGAGCCCCAGATTCATAAGCTTTGTCCTCATCCGCCAGGCCAATACCTGAAACAAGAAATTAGTTTGGCAGGCTGAACTTGCTCTTGGTGACCCCACATTGGCTCTTGATAGTCCCTGGCTTGATCCAAGCATCCATATTTTCCCGCTGCTCAGCATCCAGCTTCTGTCTCCTGGAAGCATGAGCTTCCTGTCTTTCCTTCAAGGACTCACCCTGCCCCACCATCAGTGTATGAGATTCACATGAGACTACCCCACCCCAGTTCCATATAATAATCCATGCTTCAGGTCTAAACACTCAGTATCCACTATTTCTTGAGCCACAGTGATTCACTTAGGGATGGACATACGACCCAACCAAGTGCTCAGGCTCTTTTCTGGGATTTTTATTAGAACTAAGGAGAGAAAGAATTTCTTTTCTTGCTGAACTTGGAACAGAAAAGAGGAGAACCATGTGAGGGGCACATGCTTGAGACTGAGTCTGGTTAGGAAAAGCAGAGCCTGGAGAAGAGAGAGACACTTAATGCTGGTTC